CAGGAGAGTGAGGAGGAGGAGGAGGAGGAAAACGAGGAGGAGGACGAGGAGGAGGAGAAGGAAGAGGCGGCGGCGGGGTGAGGTGGTGGAGCGCCGCTAGGGATGGATAGGCTCACGGTCAAACAGCTGCGTATCGCTGAGAACGTTGCGGGAGTGCCGAGATCGTTCCGAGCAGCCGTCGGGGACCTGCCTGAGAATGCGGCCTTCACACCGTGGGCGTCCAAGCCAGGATCTTCTGCCATACCTATACGACCGCCCTGCGGGCGATGAGGAGGTTGGGGGGCGATTGAGATCAAACTCCCACCCGGGATTGACACTGCGCGCCGCGGGAGACGCCATGGCAGGCGGACGGCGGGACGCCATGGGGGCGGCTTCCGAACGGCAGGGGCGCCGAACGCTCGAGCCTCGCAGTCTGCCGCGATCGCGCCCAGGCGCCGACAAAAGTTAATTGATGGATTGGGTTCGGTGGATTGGATGGTGGATAAGACGGGTTCGAAAAGATAAGATGGGCTGCGTTGGAAAATATGGATCTGATAGTATAAGATGGTTGGGATTGGCCGCAAATGAGTTGATGAATTGGGTTGGATGGATTGGATTGGGCGGGGTAAGATAAGATGGGACAAGATGAGTTGGATATGATAAGGTTGATTGAACTGGACAAGATGGATTTGATCAGATACGCTGGGTTTGATACTAAAGCCCGCCGCAGGCACCGACAAAAATGAATTGATGGATTCGGTTGGGTGGATTGGAGTGGACTGGATAAGATGCATTGGATACGGCAAGATGGGTCGAATCGGAAAAGTGGATGGGATAATATAGGATGGATTGGATTAGCCCGCCGCAGGCGCAGAAACAAATGAATTGATGGATTGGGCTGGGTGAATTGGATTGGGCGGGATAAATAAGATGGGACAGTGTGGGCTGGACAAGATAAGATGGATTGGATTGGGCAAGAAAGCCCGTGAGCCGAAGGCTGGGGAGAGTTTGTCCGGTGGAACGCTCACCCAGCAGCGCGGAAGTTCGAACGCGCTTACGACGGGCCTCGAGGCATGCACGGCGGTTATTGGTGACCACATGTGAGCCCGACCCCCACGCCCCACGATTTCTGAGAAGGGAGGGGGGGCTCGTTTTGCCCGGGAGCTCCCCCACCCCCCTCAGAAATCGTGGGCTTCACATGACGACACCTACTTTACCCCTTGGGTCCGTGGGTGCTCAACCGCCCGCCGCTTTGCACGTACATTATAATCCGACCTCTCTCCTACAGTGGCCTTCAGTGTGTCTGGCCGGGCCCAGCGATATTCAGGCTGCCCTGCGTGTAACGGTGACGTTGGAAGGGGGGGACGAACCATTGGCTTTGCATCGCTCGGACGTGTGCATCTGAGACCATCGAGGAGCATCCTGGATCATCTGGCGCAAAAAGCGCGCACGAAACCAAAAAATGCACAGGGAATAGACGTCCGAGCGATGGCGAGTTGCTATCACACAGTGGCTCCCCGCAGAAAGGACACGCAGGGCGTGGAAGTGGACAGCTGGGGCCAGGCAGAGAGCGGACGGCGCAGGCGAAGGGCGGAACACTGAGACCCGTCGTCGGCAATTTCAGAGGGTCGTGGGCCAGAGGTCCCACAGGGAGGAAGAGCGCCATGGGGAGGGTGGCGAGGAGCTGCAGGATTCGGGACATCACAGCACGGCATTTCAGCAAAACTACAGTTGCGGAGGCCCGCGCAGATTTCCCGCGTGGGCGCGGGGCACCCCGGGGCCGTCGCCGAAGGCGCCGTCCTTTCGGGGGTGACGAACGTCGGCCCAAGAAATCTGCGCGGACGGTGCAGGCGACGGGCAGAACATGTTGGGACAGCCGCGACCAGAGCCCTGAGCCCCATCTTGATGATGCGTTTCTCGAGCCAGATCAATGCGCGAGGGCCCCAGGGCCCCCAAACACCCAGGTGTGAAACGGTGTTGTGCCCAGATTTCACGGAAAGGCGGAGCTGCAAAGCGGAGGCATTGGAGGGAGTTGGGCGTTGTTGGGGAGGCCTGTAGCGGCGGCTCCTGGTCATCCGACGTCCCCCGCGGTGGACTCGAGCGTTACGGGGGACGCCGCTGCAGCAGCGCTCTGGCCGAAGCACGAGAGCGAGGCCCCAGCCGCCGCCGCGGTCCCTCCACAGAGCGCGGCCGGCGTGGCTTTCGCTGCCGCGCCGTGCCCAGGCACGGCGGCGCCGTTGCGTGCCGGGCCGCGGCAGACGGGGCGGGCCGCGGCTCAGGCCGCCCTGGCGCCCGCTGCAGCGCCCCTGCCCGCCGCGCCTCCAGCCCCCGCCGCCCTTCGCGCGCCCGCCGCCGCTCCGACGCCAGCCGCTGCGCCGGCCGTCGCCGCCACCTCGCCAGCCGCCGCCTCCGCGGCGCCCGCGGGCGGCGGCGACGAGCCTGATGGCCCTGGGGTGCCCGCGCGGGCGGAAGGCCCGGCAGTGGCGCCCTCGGTGCACCAGCCTCCCAGGCCCAGGCGCGGCCCCAAGCGCCTCAGGCAGAGCAGTGGTGCGCCCACCGCCTCGCCCACACGCAGCAGCGCCGCCGTCCTGGCGACGGCGCAGGCCGCCTGCCAAGCCGAGCCAGCTCTGGCGGACCCCGATGGTGATGGCGCCGCCGCGTCAGGCAGCGCCGCTGGCGCGGAGCCGGCGGCGGCGGCGGCGGCGGCCAGCATGGCGCCAGCGCCACCCGCGCCCGCCGAGCCCGCTCGCACGGCCTCCGCCGCGGCCGGCGCAGGCGGGGGCCCGCCTGGCGGGGCAGAGGCCCAGGGCTACGAGCCTTGCGCGGCACCGCCGCCTGCCCCGTTGGAGCCCCGCCGCGAGCGCCCAGCCCCAGCGGCGCCGCAGGCCGAGGCGAGCGGCGCCGTGCCCCGCGCGTGCGCCTCCACGGCCGCCCGCGCGGCAACCGGCCCAGGGGGCTTCCTGGCGGCGCAGGACCATGGCAGCGGCGCGCCCGCTTGGCCTGCTCCTCCCCTCGCGGTCCGCATGCGCTCTCCCTGCCCTCCCGCTCGTCGCTCCTCGCCCCCCGCCTCGCACTCCCCCACGGCACTCCCCCTTCGGCGTATAGTGCCGCGCTCTTGTTGTGCACGTGCGAGGGAGGGGGAGGGAGGGCGAAGAGAGGGGGGGGCCCTCGTGCTCCCGAGAGGGGCGAAACAGTTTGAGCAGGCTGACGCAGGGACGATTCAAGGTTGACGGTGTCGTCCGCTGAGCCGAGAGGCTAGAGAGGCATGCAAGCCAATGTACAAGATGTGCATTATGTGATGCTGTCTTGTTGGATTCGACTTTCCAGCCGGTCAGGCTGTCTGAGTTTCCCGAGGCTGACGGGGTGGTTGCAAGATGCACCCCTCGGCAGCGCGCCCAGACCATGTAGTTGATAAAACCTGACCCCCAATTATCGACCCCCCCTCCCCCTTTCGGGCGGAAATCTATCACGTCCCGTCCATCTCGCCTCTGCGCTGCGCGCATTCGTCTTTACAGCCTACAGCAGTTTCATGGATGGAGGGCGGGTCCCTTTCAGAATCTAGTGATCGCCATCGCGCCGCGCACATTGTTAGACCTGTGTTCGCCGCTGCGCTTTTTCCCCAAGACTGTAGGCATCCTCCTGTCCTTCGGCGGCGAGCGAGGGGGGGAAGCGAGAAGGAGACGGTCGTCTCAGAAGGCGGCGGGGCTTCTCAGAATGCCTCCGACCTTCTGAGGGGTCTTTCCCGTGTCTCCAGGCAGGGCTCAGCACGTTTCCCAGAAGCCGGGGGACGTCCGAGTCTTCTGAGAAGGCCCGCCCCTTCTTTCTTCCCCCCACCGGGGCTCGGCGCCGAGTCCTCTCCCGGCGCCCCCCCCGCCCAGCAAGCGCCAGGACTGGCCGGGGCCGCCCTCGGGCGGGGGCGGCGAGCTGCCCGACGAGGAGCTGCGGCGCGCGCTGGTGGAACGGCTGGGGCGGTCCCAGGCGCCGGAAGACAGGAGCCCAGCCGTAGAAACGGCGGGGGTTCATGCAGGCGGGGGTCAACCAGAGCGCGCCAGATCCTGCAGGATTTGGACCAGGGCTGCACCGACCCGGGGCAACGGGTCCTGCAGGATCCTGCGAGGCCTGACTGACCCGGGTGTGGATCGACCCGGGTCAGTGGAAGCCCGACCCCAGGCGGGCGGGGCGCTCCTCCCCAGCAGGCCTTGAGACCCTGGCGCTGCAATTCCACAACGTGTGCTGTCGGCCCCAGGACCCTCACGGATAGGTCAGGATGGGAACATAGCACAGAAAGATCGGGCGTAGGGCTCTGTGGTCTTGAGGTTTCGCGGTGCTGCAATTTGTTTGCAACGCCTGATCTCGGGGGGGGGGCTCAGGAGCTCAGGGGGAAGTTGCGGTTTCGAGGTTCTCGGCGGTGGTGCGGCCTCGGGGTGCGTTCCAGCAACGGCGCCTCGCCGAGAGCGTTCCAGTCGTGCCCGGAGCGCCCCGAAAGGCCGCCTGGGAACCGAGCTACGGACCAAAACCATGGGACAACACGAGGGGGGGAATAGGCTCAGGGGGTCCGCGCCGCTTCGGCAGCCCCGGGCGGGTCGGACCTTTCGTGGGGGCGATGAGTGGGGGGGGGATCTAGGGCTGCAGGAAGAGAACCTTCAAGGGGCCCCCCGGGCCGCCGAACGCGCACGACAGATGCTCATTTCTTCATCCCCCGTTTCATGACTCAGGAATGCCTGTCCCTGGGAAGGGGTCCCGACCTCTGGGGAGCCACGTGGTGAAGAAACGCGACGACCGACAGGAAAGACCACGACAGCTTCATTCCTCCGTTGCTGCTGCGTCGCGAGCCCACCCCTCCACTCCGCGCATCGTTTTTGTGTTCTCTCACACACTCCTCCCGATTCGCCCCTTCTCGCTTTGATCTCGTCGTTTTTGCCCCCCGCCCCCACCCACCCACCACACGGCGTTCCCACTCATCGATCCGATCCTTGCCTCATGGCCCTGTCATAGAATATACCAGCGGTGGCTCCAATTATAACGGTGAGGGTCCGGCTGATGAGAGAAAGAGGAGGGGTTATTGAGAAGTGGTGGGCAGGCAGGGCGGGATCCTTTGCCGTACAGGCCTGCAGTTGCAACGCTTGGACACCCGCATGGATGATTCATCTTGTCCACTTTATGTTTGCCCATTTGTTATGCCACGCTGTGTCTGCAGTGTAGTGTACGTGCTGCTCGCGCGTAAATGTATTACGTGTTGTGCGCGTGTTTAGCGACAGCGGTCCTAAGCTGACCAATTTTTGGCGACCGTCGAAAACAAGAAGAGTTTCGAGACGGACGCGCGGGGGCCACGAAGCAGCTCACGCAGCTTGGGTTCCCAGCGATTCCCGGCGCTGGAGGCGGCCACGCATCTGGGAGAGGGCCTGGTGGCGGGGCCGAAGCAAGCTGCCTGTGGAAAAGACTTGGTATCTCCCCCTTTCCCAATCTCCCCCTTTCCGTCTGACCCATGTGATCTTCGTCGTCCAGCGTAGCTCGGGTCTCTGGCGGCCGTTCGGGACGACCAGACCCCCCCCCCCCCCAGAACGCTCTCGGCGATGCGCAGCTGCTGGAAAGCATCCCAAGGGCGCAGAGCCGCCGGGAACCGCCGACGACGCCCGAAAGCGGGGAAAGGCTCCCCCAGTCACCGCAGTTCCTGCGGAGATGCGAGGGGGTGCACGCTCTCGGCGAGGCGCAGCTGCTGGAAAGCACCTCGAGGCTGGAAACCCGCCGAGTGCCCATCAAAAGCTAGCAGACCTCGAGCCAGGAACTGCAGGAGCCAGGCTGCCCCGCCTTAATTATCCTGGCGAAGGACCCAACTATATGCAGTTGTGAGTACCGCAGCTGTGAGTATCTTCTTCGGTGGCGCTCCCGATGGGGCCACGAACTGTATGAGGGGTGTGCCGAAATGTGGCGGGGTACACAACGCAAAGGAATACGATTGGTCGGATTATGAAAGAACGAACGCGGGTGAGTCAGAGCGCGAGGGAGTCTGAGTGTGAATGGGCCTGCGTGTGAGTGAGTATATTTGCATGATGCGATCCCGGCTACGCCTAATGTAAATGTATATGAATGTAAATGGCTCGAGCACGCCTGTCCGAACACTCGTGACACTGGGCGTGGCCGCCGCAGGCAGCTTCCGCGGGAACCCCGACGGCAGCGCCCGCACGCCGCGACGCCCATGTCGGCACGCCCCTTGCGAGGATCCCGCCCGTTTTCGTCCCTTTTTGTTCCTCCCTCTTTGCCCGCGCACTCCAAAAATCCAAAGCTGCAGGCGCAGCGCAGCGCGGAGTCCCCGCGACGCGCGCCAGTCGCCCCAGGCGGGGTCCCAGCGACGCGCGCGGGTCGTCCGCTGCGCGGAGCAGAGAGAGCTGGCTAGCTAACTGGCTGGCTGATAGCGGGCAAGGCTCTGACCGCTGGGCAGAGCGACGACGGGCGAACGAGGCGCCGGGCAAAACGCAGCACGGAGTTCCCGCGACGCGCGCTGGTCGCCCCGAGACGGTCCCAGCGACGCGCGCGGGTCGTCCGCGGCGCGAGGACAAACAATTGGTCGGGCAGTCGAGAGAAGGCGCGGTTCGGGGGGGACGCTCCTCAGGCAAGGCCTCGCGGATAAACTCGGTGAAGCCGAGCTCCCTGGCGAGGGCCGTCGCCTCCCTCCTGCACCGCTTCGTGCGCGACGCAAACTGCTCCAGCTGTTTCCGCAAGCCCTCCGGCGGTCCTGGCAGGAAGAACTCGACGCGCGGCGCCCGCATGAGCAGGAGGTCCTCGTGGCGCGTGGCGCGCGAGAGCAGCACATAGAGCTCCAGCCACCAATCGTCGTCCTCCTTCTTGCCGTTCCCGACCTCGTGGCGGCCGCAGTCCAGAATCACGCCTGGGCGACGTCGGCCGAGGGAGCAGTGCGCCGGGCAGCCGACGGCCCAGGGCGAGAGTCCGCAGGACCGAGGTCTAGCCGCGGTCTGCTCGCGCCCCAGAGGTCTGGTCGTCCCCGGAGCTCCGTTCCCCCGCCCCGTCGCCTTCTCGTGTGAGGGGTGTGCCCAAATGGGCGTGTGGGACGCATGCGGGCACACCCTCTGGGACCTTCGGTGGGGCTTCCTATAAGGGCCACGAAACGTGTGAGGGGTGTGCCGAAGTGGGTGGGGGTGACGCATGTGGACGGTGGCACTGGGGCCTTCGGTGGAGCTCCCTATGGGGCCACGAAGCGTGCGAGGGGTGTGCCGAATTGGGTGTAGGTGACGCATTCGGGCGGTGGCACGGGAGCCTTCGGTGACGCTCCCTTTGGGGCCACGAAACGTGTGAGGGGTGTGCCGAAGTGGATGGGGGTGACGCGTATGGATGGTGGCACTGGGGCCTTCGGCGGCGGAGCTCGCTATGGGGCCACGAAACGTGTGAGGGGTGTGCCGAAGTGGGCCGTGGTGACGCATGTGGACGGTGGCATTGGGGCCTTCAGTGGAGGGGTCTTCGGTGGAGCTCCCTATGGGGCCACGAAACGTGTGAGGGGTGTGCCGAAGTGGGTGGGGGTGACGCATGCGGGCGGTGGCAGTGGGGCCTTCGGTGGAGCTCGCTATGGGGCCACGAAACGTGTGAGGGGTGTGCCGACTTGGGTATGGGTGACGCATGCGGGCGGTGGCACTGGGGCCTTCGGTGGAGCTCGCTATGGGGCCACGAAGCGTGTGAGGGGTGTGCCGACTTGGGTATGGGTGACGCATGCGGGCGGTGGCATTGGGGCTTCGGTGGAGCTCCCTATGGGGCCACGAAACGTGTGAGGGGTGTGCCGAAGTGGATGGGGGTGACGCATGCGGGCGGTGGCACTGGGGCCTTCGGTGGAGCCCCCTTATGGGGCCACGAAACGTGTGAGGGGTGTGCCCAAATGGGTGTAGGTGACGCATGCGGGCGGTGGCACTGGGGCCTTCGGTGGAGCTCCCTAATGGGGCCACGAAGCGTGTGAGGGGTGTGCCGAAGTGGATGGGGGTGACGCATGCGGGCGGTGGCACTGGAGCCTTCGGTGGAGCTCCCTATGGGGCCACGAAACGTGTGAGGGATGTGCCGAATTGGGTGTAGGTGACGCATGCGGGCGGTGGCATTGGGGCCTTCGGTGGAGTTCCCTATGGGGCCACGAAACGTGTGAGGGATGATGACAGCGATGATTAGATGATGATGATGATGATGATGATGATGATGATGATGATGATGATGATGACGATGATGGTGATGACGATGATGGTGGTGATGATGGTCGTGAGGATGATGACGATAATGGTGATGACGGTGATGATGACGACGATGATAGTGATGATGACGACGATGGCGACGATGACGACCATGATGGTGCTGATGATGATGACGATGACGATGACGATGATGATGGCGATGACGATGATGATGATGAGAGGGAGGAGGGAGGAGGGGGGAGGAGGAGGGGGCAGCGGGAGGAAGGAAGGAAGGAAGGAGACGCGGGGCACTGTCTCTTCAAAACGAGGACCCAACACCACAGGATGGTTGGGAAAAAAAATCCAGCACGCCGCGGCACGGTGCGCTTCGCGCACCGCGAACGCGGCGGCGGCAGACCACGGGGCCGACGACATTCGCCGACGGACGGCCGAGGCGGCGACGACCGCGCAAGCGGCCACGACGGCCACACGACGGAGAGGGCGGCGACCACGCAGACGGCCACGACGGCGCCCCGCTGCCTCGAGGATCCAGCGCACCGCGGTGCGTTGCAGGGCCCTCTTCAGCCTCCCGTGGGTGGCCGAACCGCAGACGCCAGCGCCCACGCTGGCCGACCCGCCGGCCGACCCGTTGGCAGAGCCGCTGGCCGAGCCGCTGGCCAAGAAGCGGCCGCGGCCGAGGGCGCAACCGGGCCAGGCGCCCTCGGGCCGCGAGTCGGCCCAATGCCCCGATCCGACGCTGGCGGATCCTGCGGACGACGATGGCACGACGGCGGTGGCGGGGACGACGGCGGCGGCTGACGGCGGCGGAGGGCCACACAGAGGTTCCCCAGAGAGCCCCCACCCTTGGGACGTGCGCAGGGGTCCCCGCGGAGGTTCCCTGCGGAGGCACCGCGGAGGCCCCTGGGAGCGAAGAAAAGAGGGGGAATAAGAGGTGGAGGTGGAAGAAGAGGTGGAGGTAGAGGCATTGGAGGAGTGGGAGGTGAGGAGGAGGAGGCGGGGGAGGAGGAGGCGGAGGTAGAGGTGCAGGAGGTAGAGGTGCAGGAGGAAGAGGTGGTAGGGGTGGAGGAGGAGGCGGCTTAGCTCCGTCAAGGCCGAGATGACAGTGTCGGCGTTCTGGGGGGGGGGGATGTCCCGGTGTCGGCCAGGTCGGGGTCCCCTGAGGGGTCCCAGGAGGAGACTGAAACCCCGCGTTGGCCGCAAGTCGTCCGCTAAAACGCCGCCGACGTCGAACACCGTTGGTCGGGAACATGTTCTTAGCGTACCGCGCAGCCAGTTCTTGCCCACCGCGCCTCGGTGCGACACGCTGACCACGTCCCAGTCCCCAGGCGTCAGCGTCCCGAGCCCTTCCCAGCCTCCCGCCCTGCGAAGCGGAGCGACACTCTGCCCGATCGCAGCACCAGGGTGGTACGGCGCGTCGTCAGGGCCGCCGCCGCGGCACGCCGAGCAAGAGCTCCCAGGAGGAAGGCTCCGTGGAACCGCTCCTGCCTTCGACAAGGGCGCCCTCGAGGGCGCGAAGTTATTCGCGCTTCGCGGTTCGGCTCCGATTCCTCCTCATCCTCCTCTTCTCCCTTGGGAGGCGGCGCGAGAGCGCGAAGTTATTCGCACTTCGCGCTTCGCGCAGCGCGAAGCGCGAAGTTGGGAGCCCTTGCTTCGAGCCGATGAGGCAATACATCATGTGGGGTGTTTCACAAAGGGCCTTGCCTTCGAGTTCCGAAGGAGTTGTCATCGCTTCCGCCGCGGAAGGCGGCGGAAGTAAAACGAGGCCGCCTCCGCCGGCGGAAGCCAGCGGAAGGGCGGTGGCAGGCGGCGGAATGCAAGAGATGCGCCCCCAAGAGATGACAACGTTCTGGGGCCCAGGGTGTCCGAAATCCGCCCAGTCGGCGCCCGAGGCTCCCGACCAGTGTCCCCCCACGCACATGTCTGCGCCTGGCCCTCCGGCGGCATGTCGGCTCCGGCGGCGCGCGCCGCCGCCGAGGCGCTGCCGGCCAACCCTGCGCGCCGCGCGCGGCCCCCGCCCACCGAATCTTCCTTGCACGCGGTCGGGGGCCATCCCAGTGCGGCGCGCACGAGGGGTGGGCGCGAGGGGGGGGAAGCCTCCTGCGGTCAGGAACTCTGGCTCAGCGTGTCGCTCCGCCCGGTTTGGGCCCACCACGCTTCGGCGCGGCAGGTTGCCCACGTCGCGGTCCCCAGGCGTCGGAGTCCCGAGTTTTCCCGAGCCTCCCGCCCCGCGGAGCGGAGCGGGGCGATACGCTACTGTCCGCTCGCGAGGCATAGCATGTCGCTGTGGCCGCCGCTGCGACACGCTGTCCAAAAGCTCCCGACCGCAGCCCCGACATCCTCGCGTCGTGGAACGAACACGGCGGACGTTGTTGAAGCGCGTGTCGGTCCCTCGGGCCCCGGGACCGTCATAAAGCAACTCGCGAGGAGAAGCCCGTCCCCAGGAGGCAGTCAAGACCTCTCGGGAGCCACGTTGCGAACAAAAAGAGGAGGTCGCACGTCTGGGAAGAAGCCTATGCCAGGGGGGCTCTCAGAAACCCAAACCATCCCCCTAAAGGCACCCCCCCTTCTGAGAAGCACCGCGCCCTCTCAGAAGGCCACCCTTCCCTCGTGCCATCCCCCTGCGCGCGCCGCCAACATCCCGATGGCCCCCTGGCGCGTTGGCCTGGCCGTTGCGGCGGCGCGCGCCACGCTCGGGCAAGCCACAGACGCGCTGCTGCCGGCCACGGTCGCGCACACCAGCAAGGTCCAGGTTGAGATATACTACGAAAGTCTCTGCCCCTACTGCGAGCAGCTATTCAACGTCAGCTTTCGAAAGATCTGGGAGGATGCGGAGTTCAGGGAGCGGGTGGACCTGACCCTCCTGCCCTTCGGCAACGCCAGAGTCACCCGCAAGAGGTCCTTGGAGGGGGGGTACCGATTCTGGCACCCAGACACCCCGAATCCAACGGTCCGGTGCCAGCATGGCGAGCAGGAGTGTCTGGGCAACGAGATTCAGAGCTGCGTCATCGACCTCATCGGGACCAGGGAAGCTGCCAGCCTTGTTCTCTGCATGGCGGGGGAGAACTCCCGAGGCTCCGGCATCGAGAAGGCAGCATACTCGTGCATGGAGGAGCTGCGCGTCGATAGGGACAAGGTCAGACAGTGCTTGGGTTCAAGGCGCTCGACGACCTTGACGATCCGGCACGGGAGGCGCTCCACGAGGCGGTCGTTGAAGCGCAAGTACGTGCCGTGGGTGATGGTTGGCGGCAGGCACGAGGAGTTGGACGAGGAGCACGACCTCGTGAAGCCCCTCTGCGCCGCGCTGCGCGAGCCGAAGCCGGCGCTGTGCAGCCAGGCAGCGCATCCCGCGCCCACGTCCGGCGTCAGCCTGAGCGCGCGGAAGGGCGCCGCGCCGTCCCGGACAAGAGCTGGCGAGGTCTGCTGGCAGGAAGAGCCCGAGTTCGAGGATGGCGTCGAAGAGTTCGAGGACCATCGGGCGGGTGGTAATGGGGGTTGACCTACACGGAGGGTGGAGAAAAAGGCCCCAGAGGGCTCCTGGGGGGCCTTCTTCTTCGCCCCACATGTACACGCCTGTCGCTGAAATTACGTATTTCCGGATTCCCAGATCCCAATCTATGTCAAGCGTCTTCCTACGCCAAGAACCGATATGCTTTTGCTGTTTGTTATTATCATCTTGGAGGGCCTGTACCCAATCTACTTTACTCGCCTTCCGAGTTACTTGACGTGTTTGTTTTACCAATTTCTTCCTGTCGACGCGTAGGTCACTCCCTGATTATCATCCACGACAGGGGGGTCTGCTTCTTGAGGGGATGCGTCGGCCCCAAACCGCTTCTTCATCTCCGCCAGTCGGAGCCAGGGCACTCCACCACGCCCAGGAGCAGGCGGTTTCGCTATCAGGAGCCCATCGTCGATCTATCGGCGACGTCTCGCCAATGTCGAGGCAATGTGACCCCCCCCCCGCCCTCCTCCCCCATTCTCCTCCTCCCCCTCCTCCTTCTCCTCCTCCTCCTCCTCCTCCTCCTGCTCATCCTCGTCCTCCCCCCCCTCCTCATGAGCCAGTCCCCACCTGTCGTTCCCCCATCGGAGGATGCGAGCGCCGAGTGACCCAGGAGGGAAGTGGCCGCGTCGCTTCGGAGGGCCGGGCTGTGCCGGCGGCGGGTCAACCCTGCGCGCGCGACGCGGTTCGCGACGCGGTTCGGTTCAGACTCATGTGGCTTGAACAACAAAGAATGCGTGGGGCCGCTCCAAAGCGCTCTGGAGTGGCCGCGGCGCCCGATGCTCTCTCACAGCTTCTCCCGTCGGCGGGGGGAGAAGCGACACACCAACAAACCCCAGGAGGGCCACCTCCAGCGAGGAGGTCCACGATGCCTCCCCGAGCTGGCGACGGGGGATGCCCCGAGCGAGAGTGGGGACCGCACCACCAAGGAGACCCCCCTCGCTCCTCCCATCTCTTCGCCCTGGTGGTGCTAGTGTCGCCGTTCCTTGCTCCTACCCTGTGATTCGAATCCCTCAAAATATATCGGCCCGCGGGGTCTGTCCAGGGACGCGCTCTGGCGAGAATGCCGGATGAAATGTTGCCGTGACGACAAGAGGCCCCTCCCCCCCGGATCTTCGAACCTCACCTCGGCGTCACCCCGGCATACTAATATTCTGCGGGCGTCGCCCCCCCAGAGGCGACGCGCGCACCGAGAAATCTTATAGTATATGCGTCTTGGCGGGCGTTATCTGGCCGCACCGCTCGGGAAACGATCTACTACATGATGGGTATACTATGTATTCGGGTCGAACGCGCACCTCCATGGAGGACAAATAGTACTAGTATGTTTCTGTGCGTCCCATCGCTCCTCGAACCCCCTTCCTGAATCTCCCAGATATCTTCGCTGGCTCCCTCGACCTTGGCTGGTGAGTGTTTGTTTGTGCAGCGGCTTGCGCAGCGGCTTGCGCAGGACAGGACATCTGCGCTTAAGAGAATGTGTACTGGAATGTCCTGGTCTTTCCGAGGTGCGCCTCCTCCTTGTTCCGCCTCCTCCATCCCTTGTTCTTATAACTATTGCCTCCTTTTCGCACCCCCAGATGTGTCGGTTGGGCTGGCCGGGCGTCATAACAGGTTCAAGGATGGAGCGCGGCCCCTTTTCAACATGTGGCTTTCGCCGGCAAGCCGCGCACCTGCGCTTTAAAAGTTCGCAGCAGATGCAAGGATGGAGGGCGGCCCGTTTTCAAAATTTGGTTCTCGCTTCAGCGTCGTGCCCATTCGTTTCAAAAAAAAAAAGTATGTATGAAGTCCCCATACACCTTAGGCGATGCTTAAGAAAACCGAAGTTTTCGGCCAGAGTCTCGATTATTCTTAACGTTTCAATGTAAATCTTAAGATTTTAACAGAAAGGTTGGTTTTTATTCAAGTTCTGAGACTATGAATTTCTTAACCCATGATTTCTTAAGCATTTCGCAGGGTGTAATGGTGCTGATGCACGGTCTAGGGTTGTCACGACGCAACCGTCGCACTGGTTCCCGGCCTTGAAATTTCATGCAGGGTGCTCTGGCAGGATTGAGGAGCGTCAGGACGCAACAGTCACGTTGACTCTGCGGCACGGTTGGGGATGTCAAACGTTTGTCTTCAAATTGGGCACTATTATAATGAATTCTTGTAAGAGCCTGTGAAGAGGGAGCCTGGAGGGATGGGTTATTGCGACACAGCTGATGCGCCTTAAGCTTTCACTGGTCCTCCTCCTCCTCCTCCTCCTCCGTCCCCCTCCGTCCCCCTCCCTCATCTTCTTCCCTCCTCTTTCATCACCTTCCTCCCTCCTATTTCCTCCTCCCTCCTCTCATCCTCCTTTTTCTTTCCCCTCCCTCCTCTCCTCGTCCGTCTCCTCCTCCTCCTCCTCCTTCCCTTCCTGTTCCTCTTCCTCCTCCTCCTCCTCCTCCTCGTCGTCCTCCTCCTCCTCCGCCTCCTCCCCTTTCCGGGGCGCTCACCCGAACGACAGGACCACGAAGTCCGATCGGGGAACCCATCCCCGATCTATCGACGACGCATCGCTGGTTCCTACCACTCAGTGCTTCCCCCCTCTTCCTCGAACTTCCCGCGCCCTCGTCTCAGTCGTGAGCGGGTCCCCTCTGCCCCCCTCCAGGCGCTCGCCGAGCCCGCGGCGGCCGCCCCCAGGCCCTGGCAGCCTCTCAGAGCGGCACCCGTGCGCGTGCGGCCAGAGCCCCCGCTGCCAGCCCCTGGCCAGGAACCTCCTCATCCCTCCCTCGCCCTCCCTTTCTCTCCCCTCCTTCTCCTCTGTCTCATCCTCCCTCTTCACCATCGTCCTCCTCCTCCTCCTCCTCTTCATCCTTCTCCCTTCTCTGTCTTCTCCTTCTCCTCCTCTTCTTCCTCCTCCTCCTCCTCCCCCTCCTCTTCCCCTCCCCTCCCCTCCCTCCCACCCCCATCTCTCGCATCCTGCCTCCTCTTTCCCACCCTGCCTCCGCTTTCCTCTTCCTCCTCATCTTGCCTTTCTCCTCCTCATCCTCCGTTCTCATTCCTGCTCCTTTTGGCTAACTCCTCCCTGTCGTACCCTCAGGCGTGTCGGTAGGACGAGCTGGGCGTTTCGCCTGAGACTTCCTCATCGCTGGTGATCCTGAAACCTGAATGTTGTAGCAATTCCACGGGTGGACGGCGGACCGTTCTCGAAGTGGATATCCCGCCTTAGCGCCGCGCGCATTCGCTTGAAAGGTTGGCAGCAATTTGAAAGATGGAGGGGGACAAGGTTCGAAATGTGGTTCTCACGACAGCGCCGCGCACATTCGTTTAAAAAGTATACAGCGGGTCCGACGATGAAGCACGGATCGTTTTCAAGATGGG